ACATGTGGCGCTTAAAAGTTTTTTTAAAAAAGGTTTACCCTTTCAACAGGTAACTGGTTTTTGGGTCTATTGGAGGAAAACTGGGTGCATAGTTAGGATTGTTAAAAAATAAACCTTAGTTGGGATTGTTGTAGGTAAATCGGCAATAGTTGGGATTATTAAAGTGTATTTTTCCATATATATATATATATATATATATATATATATATATATATATATTTTAATTCGGGTAAAGGATCCTTAGTTTTGCAAGCATCAATGTCTTGTGGACTTGCATTGATACCTAGTGTATACAAGTATGTCTTACAATCATGTTAGGTGGATTTCTCCTTAACCTTCCATGAGACCATGAGTTTAGTAAAACACGATTGTGCACTAATTTTTTCTCAAATCAATTGTTTTCTTGTAATTATAATGTCCCACTAGCCTAAGGAATCTCATTGGGGACTGGGTGTAAGGTGTAACCCCCACAATCCCACATTCATATAGCCGATATAGGTAAGTTCATCAGGTTTGTATTAACTCAAACCTTTAACTCAAACCTTATCTTAAACCTAATCTAACAAGCTATGAACTTATTTAGAGCTTTAGCTCATTCTTACACATATGATAATAACAAAAACTACTACATCATGCACTTTATCAAATTGTAATAGTAGTAGTATTCAGAGTTCTTTTGTGATTTCATTTGAACCATTGAACTTAGAAATTCTAAGATTGGTGTCCATCACAATTCACTCCACAATAGGCTTTAAACTCATTCATTGCAATGACTCCAGCACTATAATCATAGGCCTTTGTCGATAGGTGTAGGCGTCGTTTGAAGTGCGCCTACGTTAAACATGCGGTGAATATGCTTGACACTCTTAGGAAATAAGAATTGACATAATACGATCAGGGACAAGGAAAGTAGGGAGCCGTCAACAAGTTTTTAAGGAACTTGTAAACCGTTCACGGATCATTATAAGGCAACCACGAGAAAGGGACAACGATAGGCAACAACAATTGACCCGTGAAGGTCACACCGCATTCATAATCCATGAATCTACTAACTCCATATGGTTCGGAACCACGAAAGAAGGATCGGGGATGATGGTACGAAGTGAGTCATAGATTCACATTCGCCCGTATTACTCGATTCTTACAGTGAAAAGAGATTCCTGCGGTCTCAAAGGCATGCAAACAAAGATTCAATTTGTTCCAAACTATTATTAAGCTAAATTGGTTTAATATTAATGCAACATATAATTCTAAAATATCGTGATCACTTGATTAATCAACAAGATTAAAAAGGAACCTAAACCGGTTGTCCAAATTATTTTATTAGACTTGATTTTCAATTACATATTCCCTTTAACATGCAATATGGTGATCAATAAATATATAAATGGAATAAACATTGATATTGGAAGCAATATAACAATAAATCCAACAATATAAAATCGTTAGAAAAATAATAGAAATAAATGGAATATAATTCTTACTTTGATTTTGTTTGCTTGCAACTATAAAACAATAACCGAGTTAGTAACTTCAAGGAAATAAATAAAACAACAATTAAATTAAATTAAATTAAATAGAGTTGATTTGGGGTCAAACCCTCAAACAATTCTACCTTTCACGCCTTGGTTTAAGGACAAAACCTTGAGTAAAGTACGGACTCCTTGGAGTGCTTAAGGAATGAATTTTGAAAAAATAAGGTAGGCTAGTGTTTAGGTTAGAGCATAGAAGAGAGAAAAGAGAATTAATTGGTGATCAAGCTTGTTGATGATTGAAAAAATAGGTGATATGACCTCTATTTATAATGAAAAAAGAAGGATCGAAGAATTAAGATAAGATAGAATTCGAATCAAAATAAAACTCTTGCGATACACAACAGTTTTTGCGGTTTTTGTTTTTATCATATATTTTGATCCAGAAATCGGAATAAGATAAATAATATGTCGTTGGAAAGCTGTTGAAGTATACTTTCTAAATCAATTAAAATCAGATTAAAATCCTTTGTATAATAAAAGATATGGCCAAAATAGGGGGACGGTGTCATTTTTTAATAGAGTTTGATATTTCATTCATATCTTTTTTGTTATAGCTCGGAATTAATATTATAATATATCGTTGGAAAGATAATTCTAAGGGCTATCCAACCATCTAAGATTTGGATAAAACTATGAAGCACGAAAATAATGTCCGACCATCTTTGAACGTCTTTCAATTCGAATAGAATTAGGACTTTCAGAAAGAAAAGTTTTATTCAATTTCAAACTCTTTAATCTTATCTTTTCAAAAAGGATAATTAAGATCTTTTAGAAACTTACAGAAGCTTCTGATTAATCCTAATTGGGTTAGGGATGGGATTAAAGCTTTTGAACCCTCCACATGATCATTGGGTTGTAGGTAAGGTGGGCTTAGGTTCGGTTTGGGCTCAGTTTAGTATTAAGGTCATAACTTATTCGTTATAACTCGGATTTGGGCTTATAATATATTGTTGGAAATATCTTTTCAAGCTCCATCCAACTATTCAATCATTGGACTCAGGTTATGGACCAAAATAAATTGGACTAAACATTTTTATAAAAAGGACACAAAATGAATGATTTTGAAGGACACGAAATGAATTATTTTGGGTTTAAAGGCACGAAAAGAGGAAAATAAGTTATGGTTTGGGAAAAGAGGCTAGGAATCGGGTTGGTTTATGAAATGTATTGGGATTGAATATGGATTTAAGCACTCCAAGATTAAATACTCAACCCGACCAATAATGGCGGTGAAAGGTTGTTCATCATCGGGTTTGGTTTTGGGGAGACATTTTTAGGTGTCTACAATAGGTACTAAAGAATTCCTCTCTAATTTTAAAAACTGGAATAATGTTCAAATTGTTCCTGATTTGATCTCATCATATCATGCATACATTAAGCGAATGTCTCCTTTCTTTTTACAGACATTATCATTCGCTACCCTATTTTTTTATTTTAAAATTGTGAGTCAGAAGGCATAAAAATGTTGTCTTCTCGCTCATTCAAATCTAAAACAGTATAATTAGATTACGTTATAGGTTCAACAATATGTGTTTGGTTAGATGATTTTTGTAACACAACTCTAGGAATAGTGAAAACATAAGTATGTTGAATTTCATCAATCTCTTTCCGAGTGAACTTTACAAATGCCGTCATTAATGTTTAGGAAAGACTCGCGATTTTCATGTTTATCTAGTTACAAACTTAGTTTTAAAGGGTGCAAGGTGCACCAAGGCCTTTTCCTAAGAGCAAGGCAAAGGTGTGCGCCTTTTGTAGGTGAGGGCGTGAGGCGCACTTTATACATATAGAAAATAAATAATGCTAACTCCGATTTTTTTTATTTGCAACTCTGGGGCATTATTTAAGAGATATAAAATATTCCAAAGTTACAACTAAAAAAAATCCGAGGTAGTAATTTTTATTAAATAAGTGTAAAAATGAAATTATAAGAAAAGGTGAAAGGGTCATGTGATTTCCCTCTACACTAGAATTGAAAAAAACCTGCCCATAACAAAGTCTGACGGTATACTTTAGGAAAAATAAACTCACACAATAGCTATTGATGCTTTAGAACACAAGTGGCAAATTAAGGTGTAAAGGTGCAAGAAGCAACCTAGAAAAAAGCGCAAAGGCGTGTGCCTTTTTTATGTCTATCGGTCTATGAGACTTAAAGAGCGCGCCTAATGCACACTTTTTAAAACTAAGGTTACAAACAACTCTTACTTATTTAAATTGCTACCCTTTATAAGCTAGTCCAAACTCATTATCTCTCCATATAATTTGAGATTATTTTTTCACTATCAATACTAGGAGACGTCCCATGATAACAATTTGTCTATTTACACACCGGTTCAAACTTTTTCCTTTGCTGTTTTGTAGTTGAATCCATAGAATAAAAATGTGGTCGCGGTCGCGATCGCGGGAACGGTCGCGGTAGCGCGGTATCGGTATTGTTACGCCTGTAACAGACTAGCTATCGGTCGTCGCGACAGAATTTTAATTTTAGAGCATTTTAAGGGTTTTTTTTACCAATTTGAAGCCAAAAATATGTATATTTGTAATAAATATCATTAATAATTGTGATTATAAAAGTAATTCATATATTTAAAGCCATTTTTTAAATTATTTGTATATCATAATAACCGGTAAATGTATTTATTAATTTTGTATTTATTTTTACGTATTTTTCTTTTATCTTTAAACATATTATTCTGTATTTTTAATTAATTTTATTAAGAAAATTAAATTATTATTATTTAAATGACATTAATAATAACCACATAACTTAGTTAGCAAAGAAAAAAATTCGTTTGTTTAATGAGATAAATACAACAAACCATGCTACTGAAATGATGCATAAGCCATAAATTTTACAAATAATACGTATGAAATTCTTAATACCAAAATGAGTGGCGTGGAGCATCTTGTTGGGCTTCTCCATCATTATTATTTCTTCCACTTTCCCCGAAAAAGTATAATCCCGCACCATCCATCCATGTGGACTCATTTTGACTAGAGTTACCGCTACTACCACAGGCTGATGATAGTGCACACAACCATAATTCAAGGTGCCATGGTTGACAATATGAAGACCTTCTTGATTGAAAGGGTCAAGTTGTGGTTCTTGGTAGCCAAATCCACTCCCACTCGCTCCTGCATATGGCATACCTATTGTAGATTGAGGATATGATGAAAAAGTATCATGATAGTTGTAATCTTGGGGGTTGGAAGTTACTGATTCAGATGGAAAAACATTTGTGGATAATCCATTCCATGATGCATCACTATCAATAGGTTCAATTGAAGGTTGTCTTTCTCTTGTACGCCTTTGAAATCCTTGTGAGTAATTATTTTCAAATTCAGAGTTTGGAGGATTAACCATTGATTGTGGCAGTTGATAGCGCCCACTTGATTGCCTCGATGAGTAAGAAGAGATAAATTCATTTCCATCATTTCCATCATCTCCATCGTCGCTACTTGGTGGTGTCAAAGCAGATTGTTACCAGCACTTTGTCGACTTTGCTCAAAGATTTGATGACTAGAGGAACATCGAACAGTGTTGCCAGTTCGACTTCCACCACCTCCGTCGCCACCTTCTCTACCATCATCATAATCTAACCAACTGAGTTCATCTCCTTCGAAAAGTGGAGCTTTTGATTCCTCCAACCATTCGTTTAAAGGATCGTCAACATCAAATATGTAATCTAAATTAATTGGATCATAAGTGGTTTTCAGCTCATCGGCACCATGCCTCCTCATATGTCTCAATTTTAACTTCATGTTGTATCGAAGGTAGACGATTTGATGGAGCCTACCATACTTCAATCGATTTCTCGTTTTAGTATGAACCAAACTCCACATGCTCCAGTTTCTCTCGCAGTTTGATGATGATGTGGTTTGACTTAATACTCTCACAACAATTTTCCTTAATTCGGGTGCGCTATCTCCATACGTCATCCACCACATAGCTGCAAACATTATTTGTTTGTATTATGTAATGTTATTTATTAAAATTATTTTAATAAATCATGTATTGTAATTAAATTTGATGTTTAAATATATACCTGGGTCCATTTGATGTATTTCCCTTTGTGCCGAGCTATTGCCAAAACTTTCAGCCTTATCCCGATACATGTAAATCTGTGATTTTCCACATATTTTAATATATGTAAATGTTTAAAAGTAATCTTACAAATGTTTTTTTTTTAAACTTAATAAATAATAACTTACTTGTTGGGTTGCTCTGATTTCATTATCTGGATCTCTTTCAAGTCGGTGATTACTTTTCTCACCCCTACTAACAACTCATGGTCATTTCCAATGTCATTTTCTCCGTACATGTATTGAGGGTTTAAGAAACATCCTTGAACATGACACAGATATACAGTAATTATAAGTATTTATTTTGACATAAATATAAGTACATTGAAAGAATCATGAATATTATAAATATTACCTGCTGCATGTAAATCCGTATGTAATTGGCAATTCCATCTTTTGTCTATCATCTTCCAATAATTCTTGTAATATGTACAATTCTTTTGAATTGCCAGCTTACAACGCTCCATTGCCTCATATATAAAACCCACTGTTGGTTTTAGATCTCCATCAACAAGCTTCAATACTTTTATGATGGGCTCTTGTATTTTTATTATTTCATCAGCCTTTTCCCAAAATTTGGCAACTTCAGTGGAAGGATGTTTAGACAACGTTTCACGAACTTCCACAGCCAATGCGTCATTCATTTGACCGAATCTTGAAGTCACCCAAGTACTAGAATCAAACATTTCTTGCAAGGCAGTCTTATGTCTCACAACACTTTCCAACATTATGAATTGCGTTGCAAATCGTGTGATTCCTGGTCGTGTCAGATCTCTACCCCCAGTAAACTTCTTCATATAATCAACTGCCCATTTATACTTGTAGATGAATTGGGAGACTTTTCTTGCTCTTTCTATAACAGATTTTATTGAACTTTTCTTCCCAATATCTTCCAAAAGAAGATCCAAACAATGAGCTGTACAAGCTGTCCAGTACAAATGTGGGAATCTGTCCATTAGTTTCTTTCCTGCAGCTTTGACTGAAGCTTCATTATCTGTCACTATTTGAACAACTTTCTCTTCCCCTATCTCTTGTACTACCTTCTCCATCAAACTATAGTAGTAGTTTGTGTCTCTACAATACACATCTGTGGCATCAATTGATTTGTGAAAAACAGTGCCACGAACCGAGTACACAAGAAAGTTAATAATGTGCATGTTTGTTGGCCCTGACCAACCATCACACATTATTGTTACACCTCTTTCATTCCACACCGGTTCAAAGGAGTTGATGTAATTCTTCATCTCTTTACATTCTTCTGGTAGATATACCTGATAACATAACAATAAATAATTTCAATCTTAAGAGTTACGCTAAAGAAATACTTTTAATAGCAAATAATAAAATGTGTTAATTCACATAATAAATTAATTGTACCCGAGCTAATTCATAAGCCGAAGGAGCTCGAACATCTGGACACTCTCGTATAGTATCCATCAGTGGATTAGTGTAAGGGGACTCGATTGCCTTAAATGGTAAATTAGTATCAATCATAAAATTACCAAATGCTTTAATGATGGACTTTTTTGCCTTATTCATAAATGAAGTGTTAATTTTTGTTTGTTTTTTCTTTTGACAATCCTTTTCCAATTTAATTTCACGTGCCCTTAATCTTGCAGCTGCATTTGATGGTACTTCAATTGGTATGTTTCTCCCTCTTCCTCTCCCAACTCCAACTTCGTCACAGATGATGATCAGTTCAATCGTGAGGGAATACCACTACTACCTCCTTCATGATAGTAGTTATTTCTTGGATGATAATATTCAAACTTATGTTGTTCTCTACTTTGTCGCATCGCGTATGCCAATTTAAGATCTTCCTCCTCATCATCATCGATTGGACGACTCATTGATTTGATTAAATTTTCTTCAAATTCTCTATCCATTCGATTTTTTCCCTTTTTTTTATCTTTAAACTCCATTAGAAGCCCCATCATGTCTCTTTTAACTTCCACGGACACTTTCTCACATGCCGCTACATCACCAGTTTTATGAGCTAAATGTTGCTTTAATCTTGTTATACCCCCATTAATTATTTTGTGACAAAATTTGCATCTTATTTTACGCTTACTTCCATCAACGGGTTCCCCAAAACTCCAACCAATATCTTCGTCTCTTGGAGCCATTAGATAAAATCAACCTTTTGCAAATAAGTAAAACACCAAACTACAATCAAATCTTTTGTTTTATACAAAAATTAGTGACAAATTATTTTAACTTTAATTTACTCATTTACATGATACATTGTTACTCTAATGCAATAATTAAAAAAATATTATGCACAAGTAAATGAATTACCAATGTTCACGCATGTATAATTGTTTAGCACTTTATAAGTTTATATTATCAGTCTAATACAATAATTAAAAAAATATTATGCACAAGTAAATGAATTACCAATGTTCAAGCATGTATAATTGTTTAGTACTTTATAGTTTATACTTTATACTACTAGTCTAATGCAATAATTAAAAAAATATTAACGTAACAAAATTTCCTAAACAATTTTTTAAAAGATACAACTATACAAGTCCACAATTCTACATATAATTGTCAAACACCTTTCTTAAAGTAATACACTAATACTACATATAATAATTATATAATACAACAATTTTAATCCTTATCTAACAATTTAATTACAAATAAAAAAAAAAAATTAAACATCTACAAGCTCAACTTACAGTACTGTTGCTTGAGACTTTAAGAGCTTAAGACTTTGAGTAGTGCTTTACAGCTCACTCCCAACTCCCAAGAAGAGTCTGAAGAGTCTCAGAGACCCAGACTACTCCCAACTCCCAAGTAGTGCTCTATTTTTCTTCAAATTCCTAAATTCCCACTCAAGAACTCAATTAAAACCCATTTTTCTCTCTCTTAAAAATTACTTAAAGCTCATCTTCAACCTCAAGAGTCAAGAGTCGAAGCTAAGTAATCAGTGATGGTATGTTCGTCGGCCGGCGGCAATGTTCTATCCCCGACTCTAGGTTTCGTAGATCTGAAAACGGTAAGTTTTTCTTGCTTTTCTTGTTTTTTTTTTTCCTCCACTTAAGCGTGGAAATGAAAGGCTGTTGTAGAATTGATTGCTTTCCTCCTCTTCTTTTATCCGTGAAAATTTACAACAAAAACAAAAATTAGACTCTTTGCGAGAAACACGGAGAATATTAGCTCTGAAAAAGTTTTAAGAAAAATCCATAAATACTCATTGAACTTTTTGAAATTGTGAATGCGGACGATTCGTTCAAGATACGGATGTCGCGGTTAAAATTCGTTTGTCGCGGTATATGTCGCGCTGTTTTTTAGTACTCCGTGATGAAACGCTAAATATCGTAACGACAGTTTTGATTTCCGTTACAACACGGCCGCGACGCATCAACTCGGCCGAGATTTTATACCGTGGTTGATTCACAAACCAACTTTAGAAGTCATGTTTATAACATATAAAGGATAAGCAACAAAAATAAAAGAGCAAGAATAATCATACTAATGTAAAGTGATTACATTGAATGGTAACTCTATAAGATTCACATATCAAAAATCATTCAAATAACTAGTATCAAATTCAGTAGATTTGCCATCCATAGTTGTATGTATCAACCAAATATAAAACAAATATCTCTCACTGCAAAACTTTTTATACTTCATCTGTGTGTTTTTTAGTTATTGATCAAGACGTGGCCCATAGGATTAAGTCAGGATGGCTTAAATGGAGAGCGGTCACGAGAGTGTTATGCGACCGAAGCATTCCCTTACAGTTGAAGGGAAAATTCTACACGACTGCCATAAGACCAGTGTTGCTCTATTGTACAGAATGTTGGGCTTCTAAGATCTGCGTATTAAAAAGATGGAGGTTACGGAAATGCGCATGTTAAGGTGGATGTGTGGAAACACTTTAAGAGATAGAATTAGAAATGAGGTTACTCTCAAGAAAGTAGGTGTGGCAAGCATTGCAAACAAACTAAGGGAAAATCGTCTGCGTTGGTTTGGACATGTAAGACGGAGACCCGAGTGTGCACCAGTGCGAAGAGTGGAAGAGTGGGACCATGGAGGGATTAAACGAGGGAGAGGGAGACCAAAAATGACTTGGTTGGAAGGAGTTAGGAAGGATATGAAGTGCATGGATTTACATGAGGATGAAGCTTTGGATCGTAAGGGATGGAGGAGAAAGATTTATGTTGACGACTACACGGAATAATAAAATTTGGTTCATGTTAGCCGACCCCACTTTTGGGATTAAGGCTTTGATTGATTGAATGATTGATCACTTTTCTAAAGTAGAAGTTTCAAATTTGTTACATCTCTTTCCTTTTTAATTAATAAGCTCTCTATACCCCTCTCCTATTACATGGATCCATTTTTCTAACTCTCTCTATCTATCTCATCTCTAAAATTGACTAGGAGTTTGCAATTTGCAAAGTGATGTAATTAAAAAAACGGAAGAAGTAAAACAAATATTTCTCACTAAAAGAAGAAGAAGAAGAAGAAGCTATAATGTTTCATTCTTTTTTCTTTTCTTTCTTTTCTTTCTTTCTTACGTTTGTGTAGGTATATTAAGGTAAAAGAAAACAAAGGCTAATCAAATTACGAAGCTGAAAGTGGTTAGCAAGTGGATTTGAAGTTTAAAGATATAGGAATTAAATTGGTAAGTCACGATACTTACCTCCTAAGTGGAAGCTCAACAAGATCTAGAATTCGCCTTACGAATTGTAAAGGATAATGATATCATCAATATCATTATCCCTTGATTTACTCCTTAATTTTCACAATTAGGTTGATTGTCAACAATTTTTTTAATTATTGTTTAATGTACCTAGACATATACTCTAATGTATCTAGTTTTAGTCTAATGCTTACTTGTCGACTATAAATACTCTTGTATACTCATCAATATAATCAAGCTTTCCAACAATTTCTTTCGCATAACTCTATCACGTTATAATAAGCTATGGTATCATAAACTTTTGATCCTTCTCTTGTTGCTTTCGCTACTTCCATGGTACACTATCAAAGCCCTTTGGTGATGTCGACAAATGATGGTAATCATATCAAACTTTCTTCTCGGAAAGCTTCAAACCAAAATCACACTTTTTGCTCAATTCTTTTGCCACCTCGTATTTCTCATACGAAGAGATGTCAATTGTCATACATTTTTTTTCTCCAAACCTCTTATGGAAAAACAATCCCTTTTTTGGCACCTTGTAGTTCATCTACCAAGTATTGCCAAACATAAACTTACTTCTCCAAACCCCTTATGGACTCCAAAACCATTATGGAGAACCATGAAATTCCCTTCTATACAACCACTAGATTTTTCTATCTTGCCCTCAATGGTAGTGAAGGAATCCCTATATTTTTTTTTCTCCCCGTTGCAAGCACACAATTTCTTCATTTTAATATTTTGCAGTAAATGATTCACGTGTCACAACAACCATGAAAAAAAACTCTTCCTCACCACACACCTTTATCTAAAAAAAAGACCCTCCGATATCTCTCCAAACCCTCTCGAAGAATTACAATACAACGCAACCCTTCTCACCTACTATACTTCAATTTCTACATTGAACAAGATTTGCGATATTATATCCAAGATCAATCCATTGTTCAGGGGCATGTAAAAGATAATGAGATCATCAATATCATAATCCTTGATTTACTCCTTAATTTTACACAATTAGGTTGATTGTCAGAGATTTTCCTAACTATTGTTTAATGTACCTAGATATATACTCTAATGTATCTAGTCATAGTCTAATGCTTACTACTCTTGTATGCTCATCAATATAGTCAAGCTTTCCAATATTCTTTTTTTTTCATAACTCGATCACGAACCGCATCGGAAGGGCTACGTCAACACTTGTCACACTCCAAAACCCAGAGTCAATGGAAAACACTCTCAGCTTTGTGGATTATTTTTCGTGTGAAATTGTACATTTATTTGGCTTTGTGGATTATTTTCCGTGTGAAATTGTACATTTATTTGGCTACAACGGAAGTTATATATATATATTAGGAGTCCTTATCACTTAAGACTAGGTGTAACCAACTCTCAATAGGACAAATATCATCTTATTTACTTTCCCAAAATATAGATATCATCCCCTTAAAGTGATATCGATAAAGTAACAATTACTTGACATAGGATAGACTTTGGAGGCCACTTAATCTCCAACAAAAGAAAATAATGAGGACGTGAAGAAAAGGTGTCTTTTTCCTTAGCATGTTTATTATCAATGTCGAGTCGAGGTTAAACAACTTATAAGAGTTTTCATTATTGAATTGAAGCACAAATTAAGAAACTACTCATTTTATTAATTCAAGAAAATAAAAACTAAATGACTCCTATTAAATTGAAAAATGAAACCTATAGACATAGACTCAATATAATGAAAGGAAACAGCTAGACATAGGACTCTTCTAATCGACCTATTAGACATTGGCTAAACTAGATAGAACCCAAGGGGTTTGTTTAAATGTTTGGCTAGGTCTTGGAGGAATTGAAAACCAAGCATAGATGAGTTGTCCATTGCCTTAGATGGTACTTGCAGTATGCATTTGGATTTCACCTCTTTGATCTTTCTTCTAGTGGTGGATCTTTACACTACTACAAAGTCACTCTTTGAAGTTGTCTCTTTATTGTTGCCTAGTGTTTATATGAGACTCATAAGCCTTTAGAGTCGCTTGTAGTAAAATAGGTGACACATAAAATTGTATTTAAAAATTTGAAAAAAAAATCTTAATGTGTCACCTAATTATTAATGTTAACTTATAAGTTTTTGGATACGCTTATTTATAAATTAGGTACCATGTATGGTTGTGGTAGGATATTTGAAAAAACAATCTTGCGTGTCGTCTATATGGAGACACTTTTTATAAATTAGCTGACACGTATGGTTACAATTGAAACTATTAAAGAGAAAAACTCTTTACGAATCGCTCTTTATTGATAAGTGACTCATAAGTCATAGGCCTTTGAAGTCGTTTATAACAACGCATAAGGTTGCTATAGGAAATAGAAAAAAACCCTAGACGTCGCTAATGAGTGACTCATAAACCTTTGGAGTTTCCTTTTATAAATCATGAGACATGTAAGTCTTTGATAGGATTCCTATTATATGAATTTAAAAGAAAAAAATACCTTCACTAAATTATTATAAGTTACTCATATGCCAAGATTGCCAACATTTAACATTACATATCTAACATCTAAAATTAAATTAGTGCATTGGCATGTGTGCCTAATTTGATTGTGACAGCTATTCTGAAACGGAAGAAGTATGTTGCATCATCATCAATGTACAACTCCTACTTTTAGAGTCGAAGTTGTTATAGTATTATTTTTAAACTTTAAAAAAAGTCTTACGTGATGCCTAATTATTAATGGGGGACTCAAAAACTTTTAGAGTCGCTTGTATTAGATTGGTGACTCATAAGCTAGTTATGGGAATTTAGGGGGGGGGGGGGGAACAATGAGGCCAATGACTATCAATATGAGGGTTCAACTGTTAACTCTGAAATCACAAGGTCGGATCCTAGTCGAAAAGTGATTTGATGTTATAAAAACACAAAATTAAATAGATACTTTCGTCTTAGTGTTAGTTAGGCCTTTCCCTCTTTTTAATATGTGAAGGAGTGGCCATTCAAAAAAAAAAAAAAAAAAGTGAAGGAGTGGAAAATAGTTTTCCTGTCATTTCTTATAAATTTATGAGATTAGTCCAAGATTTGGGGGTTCTGAACAATTAAGCTCACTGATTGTTGAAAGATGTTATGTTAATAATTTAGGGGATCTGGATAATGATATGAAGGAGTGATGTACCACATCGAAAAGTAGCAACGAGGCTACTTCAACTTCAGGAAATAAAAGGCAGAAGGTGATACAGAACAAATCATACCTTTCTCGGCCTTTTGGCTAAGATCAAGTGTAGTATCTGTTCTTATCAGTTTAATATCTGATACGTGGGCCAATGGCTCACAACGATATTAAATTTTTTTTTGAAGGGGGAAGATCCACAACAGTAGCTTGCTACTGGGATCTTCAAGCGTCGCCCATGCGTTGCACTACTGCATGGGCCTGGCACACCCCACCAACACTTAGTTATACATTTTCTGGTTTTTTTTTTACCTAAGACTATAAGAATAAAGGACTAGTGGTCTCTTTGGTAGTATGAGTCCTGATTCATGAAACTTGCACTTCTACAGGCACTAATGAAGAATTCAATAGAACTATACTTAAAACATGGTTAACTGAAACCTACCTGCATATCTGGTTCTTTTGATGCCATAATTGTAACAATAAAGCTTTTGTTCAAATAAAGAAAATACATGCCACTAGTGAGTTGTTCTAATTCAAGTAGGTAAGCGTCTGTATTAACTCTGGTCCCCTTTGCTCTGTTTCATAAGATCTAGCTGTATAGCAGTACTGCAGTACAAAAGGGTAGAAGACTTTGATGTGAGTTTTTATCATTTGCATTTTTCTGTGGATGCAGTTGTACTGACAATGAGATTAATATGAAATTGGTTACAAAGAATATTATCTTGCTTATGCGCAATTGCCTCCTTGAGATATAGTCTAAACATTAGTCTCTCTCTTCTCCATTTTGGTCTTCATGCTCCTTGTAGTTGGTTACAAAGAATAATATCTTGCATTTTGGTCAAATTCTCCTTATGCAATCAGTTTTCTTGATAAATGCACACTAACAAATTTAGTTCTCTAAAACCATATATGGCATGTATAAAGGTGTTCAGACTAATGGTTTATGTTAAATACTACCAGGGTCTGTATTCTTTCAGCCTTTGAGTGCCACGATGCCTCAAACTGGTCCAAGGTATTATTAAATACTTTCTTTTATTCTTTTTTTACAAAGTTTCATTTATTTGATTTTCTGTTATTGAGTTGGACTTGCTGCTGGCATTAAATTTTCAGTTGGAAAAATGAAGTTTCCTTCATCCTATGCCAATCACCAATAATAAGAATGAGAATTAAGGTTTGGTAGGAGAAATTTGGCATATTGATTTTTGATATTGAAAGGGTTGTAGAGTAAATAGTAGTTATCTTGCTGGTTAATAAAGCAGTAATAATGTTCCCTATAAAATCTTTTGAGGTACAGATTGCAAATAAGGTGAGTTGAGCTAAGCTCTACCCAACTCGCACTCAGTTTTTGGTAGCTCCTAATAAGTAAATCTCTCCAAAAATAATCATATGCCACTGAATGTAGCAAGTAAAAAAGACGAAAGAATAGATTTCTCGTGCTGACTGCACAACTGCGAGAAGGGTCACACATTCAAGTTACTAGCTCGTATCTTCTTTCTTGACTGACTCTGGATTATTGTGATAATTTAGCTCCAGAGAAATATAGAAATATCTCTTTTCTCTGTCTTATGGGGGAATGATTCTACTGAGACTATGCCATTTACTGGCTGTTGCTTCCACATTATGTCCGTATATCTTTATTTCTTATTATGTCTGTTTTGCGTGGTTTTACATTTGAGTTTGCAAAACAAAGTTCCAGTAAAATCCTTTGTCTTTTACTTATGCTTCATCTTGGACTGAAAATGTGTGATCAGCTTTGCTACAACATGTGGGGCAAATAATTAAGTGCTTAGAAGTGCTAGTATCTGAAGATGTTAAGGAAGGTAGGAGAAAAATTAAATCTTTTAGCTCAACTTCCCTTGCTATCGTTTATTGGTTTAGAGACTTGGTGATATTTACTGAGGTTTGTTTAGGAAAAGTCATAGCTTTGGGAAGTTGCTCAGCTGATAGTGGACCTAGAATATTGGATAGAAAATGAGTTGTGGTTGGCTTTGCACTGTGACATATTTTGGCTGTAACAAATTCTAATACTAGTAGGTTTTTGGAGATTTGATTTTGTGTGTGGCGAAATGCAGTGTATTGTCCTACATTTGAAAAAATGAGATAAAGGCTCTATTATAATGCTTTTGCATCTTAATTAGTAGTCTCTTCGGAGACGTCTGATAAAATTAGAATGATATAGAGGAATTTTTTTTTTTTTTTTAATTTTTTCATTATTATTATTATTATTATTATTAGGGTTTTTCTATACAGTGCCCCTGAGGTATTGACTTTTCTAAGCTGTGCCCACCCATTTTCAAAATTCTACGTTGTACCCCTAAGGTACCTTTGGTGTTTACGCTGTAACCCTACCCTAATCCCTCCGTTAACTTAAGTTAACTTTTCGTTAACTTCAAAATAAATAATTTTTTTTTTAAAAAAAAAAACCCAAAAACACCCAAACACCTCTCTTTCCTCCATCACAAGTACCACCACCGCACCTCCCGCCGCACCTCCAGCTGCACCACCGCATCATAGTGTCTCGCCCCTCTCTCCTCGACCCACCACCGCATCATCCTCCTCCTTCCTTCGTTCTCTTTCCAGATTTTCGACCATTTTTCGAAAAAATTTGGGCATAATTCGAACAATCTTGACCAATTAAACTATATTCGTGCAGATTTTCATTAGAAAAATCAATTAAAACAAGTTTTGTGTATTTAATCTCGATCTAATTGAACCAAAATTGATGATTTAACAATTAAAATCAAATTAGGGGAAAAGTTAGGGTTTGGTGTCGTTTGATTGTTGCGGTGGTGCGGGACTGCTGCGGTGGTGCGGGAGGGGATTGGGGTGGTTGGTATTCCGAGGTGAGAGGAGAAGTTGGTCGGTGGCGTTTGCTGGTTCATGCGGCTGGTCTGTTTTGGTGTGGTGCAGTGCAGAGAGCAGTTTGGAGTAAGGTTGTGGGTTTTCCGGTGCGGGAGGGGATTGGGGTGGCTGGTATTCCAGCAGGCAGTAGGCGGTCGAGGAGAGAGAGGCAGTGGGAGTGCGGCGGTGCGGCTGGAGGTGTAGTGGTGGCTGGTGGGTAGTCGTGACTTGTGAGGGAGGAGAGAGAGGTGGTTGGTTTTTTTTTTTATTTAATTATTTATTTTGAAGTTAACGGAAAGTTAACTTAAGATAACGGAGGGATTAGGGTAGGGTTACATCTTAGACACTAAAAGTACCTTAAGGGTACAGCGTAGAATTTTGAAAATGGGTGGGTACAGCTTGGAAAAATCAATACCTCAGGGGCACTATATAGAAAAACCATTATTATTATTATTATGGGGCACTATATAGAAAAACCCTTATTATTATTATTATGCTCATCATTGACATATATACCTCTGATGATTTAACTGGTAATTGGATAGGGGCCGCGCGAACGCAGGCCCCCACTATCACAAATTATGACGTACACTCTTCCTCTTGGGAAGATGTTAGACAGGCACCCCTCCTAAAGTGCAATGGAGGCCACCAACCTAGGCCATGAGCCTTCTTGATCGCCCATTGACCCCGTCCAGGTAAGTGATTTGTTTGTTCATACTCCATTTTATTTTATAGTCATCTCTTTTATACACCCATTTTCAGTTAAGTGATGTGGGACAACATCCAACCTTGTTAAGCTGATTTTCATGAATTTGCACTATATAGCTAATAAGTGATTCATTCATGTTTGTGTTTTTTTAAGTGTCAACTCTTCAAATCTAGTACCGAAGATGGAATTATTGAACAAGAAACACATTATATTTGATCAATCTATAAACAGTAGCTGTATCAAAAATAGAAACTGTAGATTATATACAAGTTCATAGATTTAGATAACTGAGTGCATCAACTTTTCTCAAAAACAGCTGCCACTCTAGTCTACTTCTCTTTTGTGTAAACTGCAGACAGGTGGATCCTTTGCATCTCTGTGACTCTGTCTTGCTGATGGGTATTTCTAATTTAGTAGGCGGGGAATGTTTAATACTACATTTGACCTTAGACAGTTAGAGCAATTACTAGATATTAAAACCGAAAGACTTATACTGTTATTATACCTACCAGGCTACCAGGTATATAATTGTATATGATATCTACACCATACGTTTGCATGCCAACCCTTGCATGGTCTTCTTGGTATCTATGGAGTACTAGTTTTACTAATAGTCCTGAAGGTGTTGAGTATAGAAAACAATTGTTCTCTACCCTTTAGGAAATGGCCACTAATTGGCACCAATAACTGGCGGCATATGATATCGTAGTTTGTTGGACACAACTATTCAAACATTTAAATCTTAGTTCCATGATGTTGGGGATAACTCTTCACTATCTTGGCCGGTTGAGTTTAACTTAAAATGAAGTCCATGTTCCTTCTCACTTTACATGTGTTTTACATTTTTGCTTTTAATTGTTAGTGTAGCACATGGTGTTTGAAAAGTGTTGCATATGCTGAATGAAGTTTCTTTAAGTTAGAGTTGATTTATAGTATGATGTTCTCTGTAATGTTGGACTGTTCTTAATTTTTTTATTTCATAGAATGTAAGTTAATTTCGTTCTTGCAATGCTACCGACTATAAATCAATGTTTTAACTCTAACTTGGATGAGAAGCCAAAAATTTGTAGCTGATTCGATGATTCATTTCAATAGCTGACCAATGGTGTTGCTTTGGTGACGATTCATTTTTTTTTCTTCAGAAAACACTGTTGATGCCTACTCTAGCTTCTGTAATTTGCATTACTCTCTTCCTCTTTATTGAGGTCAAAGCGGGGATGGCATGAATGGTAAGGTGGGGTTACAATAACCTAAGTTGTGTTTGTTCTATTGCTATTGGGGTGATGGCCATATGCTGTGTAGTTGAATAATTCCTTGTAATTCAGAGGTCTACTTGCGGTCATCCGGACTGAATTACTGTATCATGAGTAAATATATATTGATGTAATATAACAAAGTGTGCTGGTAGAGTTCTTGCTTGTTTGTACTCTTTAGGAAATCATTTCTCACTGTTCTTTGTCATCTGTTACTACCCTAAATATCATTTTCGTATGCTGGACAGGCTTTCTTACAATTTATTTCTTATTGAAATCTTTGCAAGACATTTTAGGGTGTGCACTTATATTAGTAGTGATTAATGTTTAAAGTGCATGACATATTGTCAGCTGATTTATAGTTAAGGCCAGTGCCTTGTGGCATAATAACTTTACAATTTTATCCCTGCATCTTTCATCTGACGCTGTTCTTAGTTTCTTACTCAAGATGAAAGGATGTTTATCTAATATTGGCATATGCCCCATATCAGGTATACTGGAGAATTAGATTTTTGAGCAGTATGTTCCACACTGAAAGCATGTATGTATACCTCTTTGTTTTTAATGTTTATGCACCTTCTTAGCATTGTCTCTTTGGAGACATCTAATAAAATTGGAACGTGTAGGGAATAATTTCAAGCCTTTAAATCCCACTAGCTTGAACCCCACTGTGATCAGAAGGTTACACCCCTTAACGATCCAAGAGATCGTCAAATCCATAAGGTCATGAACCAAATAAGGGTTCGGGGATGATGATACAAATCCAACCTAAAAGAGATTGAACCTGCCCTAATAATAAGTCTCTACTTTATTCTGCTCGTATTCATGTGCGCTTTCTGATTAACATGCAATCAATAGGATTAACCCTAAACCTGTTTATCTATGTTGGTTGAATTTAATGCACAAACAAATCTATTATTGGCGATCACTTGAATTTATAATCATATTAACCTTAACAAGATTATTAATTATCTTATTAAGCGTGATTGCAAATACAAATTCCCTTTAAACATGCAATAAAAGGTGATTAGGGGATTTTTATCCACCAATCACCGTCTGACAAGTGGACCAACCAGGTTCCGCCACGTGTCCTTCACGTAGGCCAATAGGAGCCTGCCACGTGTCAATCACAGATACGTCCTCTACGGACCAATCAAGGCACGCCACGTGTCCACCCATGCCAAATGGGAAAACCGGCCATCAAGGCCCAATCCAGTCTAGAGGCCCGATCAGCCCTAGGTTTACCTTAAACCTAGAGAGTGGCACGCTTCTCAAGGCTATAAATACTTAATTAATCCTCATTAGTTAGGTAATCGAGAAATCAAGAAATCAAGCAGAGAAGAACAGAGATATTACGGAACACCAACAACCGGCTAATCTCGCTAACGACGCAGATTACCAACACTGAGCACTCTCACCTAGAGAGATCTTATTACTTTAGTTTCCGTATTAATTACTCCTTAATCAGGTACTAACTTGACCGTTGGAGGCGGAGCTCTCAGGAGTCTCCGTTATTTTGCAGGTACAGGCGTCCGGTTCCAGTCTCGGAATTGTAACTCTCCCGCAGGACATCAGAAAACCCCGAAACATTTGGCGTCGTTTGTGGGGAGAGTACTTCAGAGATGGCATCCAAGTCTGTACCGACTCCAGAAGAGAGGCGTCCCCTAGACGACCCTCAAGTTCAGTCGGACCATGATACCGAAAGTGAATTTGAAGTTGAAACTCATACAGCTCCAGACGGGACCCTAAGGGCCCGACGTACCCGTCATACCGAAAGGAGGGAACGGGAGCATCTTCAAACAGGAAGCGAGCCAGCAGGCGCACCGCTTGCTCGGCAACAGCTGACTGATGGGTCTGCTCCCATCACAAGGAACGAACTCATGACCTTCATGAGGGACTTCAAGGGAGAGATTCAAGAGTTGATCAACAAAAAACCGCCTGCTTCAGTCAAAGAGCAGTCGGCCAAGAAACCTTCCACTTCACTGAAGAGGAAGCCAGTTCAAGGGCGAGAGGCGACTCCTCATCCTAAATCCAAGAAGCGGGAGCCACCTGCTCTTGATTTCACAAAACTCCGTTATCCTACGGGAAATAGGAAACCGGTTCGTCATATTCAGGCGGACGGGTCAAAGCAAACGTTCACAGATGCTCGGCTCCTGCTAGAGCAGAAGAAGAGTGACCGATTATCAGAGTCGGCTTCTACTTCAAATTTTCAAGACAGTTTGCGAAATGCCTCGATGAGGCATACTCAGTCGTACCATGAGAGTCAGTCAGGCGGCACCTCCCGTCAGTTCGGCTTTCATAGTGCCCAGGCGGTACCAAACTTACCATTTGTGCCGCAACAACAGTATTTTATGCAGCCACCTCCATTTGGTGGACCTGCAGCAAAAAACGTCCAACCTATGGACTGGCAGCTACGGCTGCTTAGACTTGGTGAACAGCCGTCGGCCTTCTCCAAGGAAATTACTGAAGCCGCTCAGCCGGCCAAAGTAAAAAATGTTCTAGTAGGCGCCTATGACGGCACTACTAACCCAGAAGACCATCTGATGGCATTCACCAATCTGATGTACCTTCAAGGGTTGGATGATCCCACCTGGTGCAAGTGTTTCCCAGCGACTCTCAAGGGAATTGCACAGCAATGGTTCGGCAACCTGCCGACTGGTTGTGTAAACAACTTCAGGACGCTTGCTTACTTATTTGCCTCCAACTTCGCTATGAACATCCCTGCGAAGAAAACGACCCTTGATTTGGGAACAATTCAGCAGGGCGAGAAGGAGGGGCTTCGTTCTTACATCAGGCGCTTCAACCTGATGAGAATACAGATCCAAGGGTTACCGGATGAGGTAGCTTATACTGACTTTTTTAGAGGTCTCAAAGACGGGTCTACCTTCAAATTTGATTTAGTTCGAAAAAGGGTGGCGACTCTTCAAGAGGCCTTGATTGAAGCAGAAGCCTATATACAGGCGACTGATCTGTGTACGATAAAACAGTCGGACGGGAAGAGGTTCGACAAAAGAGAGGGACGACAGAAACAGTCGTCCAACAAAGATGAGAAAAGAAAAGAGGTCTGGGCGGCTGATTCCTCTAAACAGCCGGCTCAGAAAAAGAAAAAAGAATTCAAACCATACTCCCCAAAGTATGTGTTTAACAAGGATAACCAGTTTATCCTAAAAGAAATAAAGGGACGGTTCTCAATTAAGAAGCCGCTCCCCATGAAGGGTTCTGCAAGCAACCGGAACCAAGACAAAATTTGTGCTTATCATGATGACGTTGGTCATCACACCAATGACTGTATCAGTCTCATGCGGTACCTAGACCGCTTGGCTGAGCAAGGTGATCTTGACACTTATGTCAAGAAATCTACGGGGAACACCTCCTCAAAAAAGCAGTCGGCCAAAAAGAATCAACAGGCCGACAGTTCCGATACAGATGATGCAGTCGTCTACACCATTGCAGGCGGCTTCTCAGGAGGCGGCCCCACTATTAGGGGCAATAAGGATAATATAAGGCGGTTAGATGTAAATTCCGTTCACCAAGAACGGCCGTCCAAATATACATTCCCTGAGATTGTCATCACTGAAGAGGATCTAGGAGGGGTAAGGGGGCCGCATGACGACCCTCTCGTTATTGAATGTAAAGTGGCCAACCAGAGAGTTGGCCGAATCCTCATAGATACCGGGAGCTCCTCAGATCTCATCAGCAGCAAATGTCTGTCAAAATTGAAATATCAGACGGACTGCATACATCCGGCCTCCCACCCTTTAATAGGGTTTGGAGGAGGAGTCGTCCACCCACTGGGACGAGTAGATTTTACCCATTCGCCTGGGCAAAAAAGGGGAAGGACGACACATGGTAGTCCGGTTCCTAGTAGTAGAGGAACTCTCGGCCTACAACATGATTCTGGGTCGACCAACCCTGAATAATTCCAAGGCTGTTATAATCCCGTCTCTTATGCTGCTTAAGTTTGAGAGGGATAATGGAACAGTCGGCTCCTTAAGGGGAGATCAGAGGATGGCCCGAGAGTGCTATCTCTCGGATGTCAAGCCCACTGTTATGGCCACTGAGTCAAGTGGAGAAAAAACAGACCTTGACAATGTCAAGGAGAGTGCGCCTGTTCAAGAAACAGGCGACAAAAAGAGAAAAGGCGTCCCAGACAGAGTCCGCAAGAAAAACAAGAAAAATAGCAATCATTGGCAGAGGAGCGGCCGGATGAGTTCCGCCCTCAGCCGGCTGGTGAGCATGCGGACCTGATATTAGACGACTCACGTCCTGACCGAACAGTCAAAGTTGGGACGACTGCTCTGAGAAACCTTGGTGACGACTTTCACAACCTGTTGAAAGAATACAAGGACATCTTTGCATTTGAAGTCCATGAAATGCCAGGCATTAGTCCTGATCTGGCAGTACATAAACTCGCTGTGGATCCGAAAAAGAAGCCGGTACGGCAAAAGAAGCGGAACCATGGCGAAGAAAGAAGTCAGGCGGCAGCCGCCGAAGTCAAAAAATTACTTGATGCAGGGTTCATTCGGCAATGTTACTACCCAGACTGGGTTGCAAATGTGGTGCTTGTTAAAAAGCCGAATGGCACCTGGCGAATGTGTGTAGACTACACAGACTTGAACAAGGCGTGCCCCAAAGACAGTTACCCTCTGCCTAAAATTGATAATCTGGTCGACTCAACAGCCGGCCATGCCTTGATGAGTTTCATGGACGCCTATTCTGGTTTCCATCAAATTCCTTTATGGAAGAAAGATCAGGAGAAGACGGCCTTCGTCACTGATCAGGGATTATACTGTTACACGGTCATGCCGTTTGGTCTTAAGAATGCCCCGGCTACCTTCCAACGAATGATAAACACAGTGTTCTTTGATCAGATTGGGAGAAACGTCGAGGCATATATTGATGATATGATTGTCAAGACTAAACTTCAGAAAGATCATCTGGCGGACCTCCAAGAAACTTTCGCCACACTCAGGCGGCACCATGTCATGCTCAATCCCAAGAAATGTGTATTTGGAGTTGAGTCTGGGAAATTTCTCGGATTCCTTATCAATCAGAGAGGAATAGAGGCGAACCCTGAGAAGGTACAGGCGGTCATGACATGCAGTCGCCTCGTACCGTCCGAGAGGTTCAGAAGTTAACAGGTTGTCTGGCGGCCTTGGGAGATTCCTAAGCCGATCAGGCGACAAATGCCTATACTTTTTCCAGGCAATTAAGAAAAAGGCAAGGTTTGAATGGGGGCCGGATGCTGAGGCCGCCTTCCAGAAATTAAAGGTTCACTTGCATTCCTTGCCGAGGCTGGTCAGCCCTTTGCCCAAAGAAGATCTCTACATGTACCTGGCCGTCTCTCTGATCATGCGTTAAGCGCTGTGCTCCTTGCTGAAAGGGACGGCTGTCAGCTCCCGGTCTACTTTGT